TCCATTCTGGGAGACAGAGTGAGATTCCAATTCAAAAAAAAAAAAAAAAAAAAATGGCCAGGCTTGAGAAGAGCAGGGTGATCATTTTTCCTGGGCAACTGGAGTGAGTCAACAGCAATAGGATATGCAGGCAGGAACCCCAAGGCTGAAAAGCACCCCATGTGTTTCTGGCCTTGTTTTTTCCCCTGGTGTCTCTAGTCCTGAGTTTTCCCACTTGTGCCATCTTCCCTTCTGCCCACAAGGGACCTACATCTCCTTCACACCTTGGGTACTGCTTGCTGTTCCAAGGATAACTCACAGCGCAACCCTACTCTGGGATGAGGATGAACAGCTTTGGGGGTGTGGTTGGGGTAGATGTGTAGGACTCCTGATCCAACTCATTTTGTCTCCCTCCAGACCTGTGGGGGATGACAACTGAACCGTCTGAAGGAGGTGAGTTTGAAGGAGACAGTTTGAGTCCTGTCCCTCCGAGCTTCTTGGGGAGCAGGCAACATGGTGGAGGATCCCAGGCTGGGAGCCTGGCTTGCTGTTTGACCTTACTGGACTTCAGTGTCCCATCTGTACCTGAGGGCAGGGGTTGGGGTCATGTTCTCTGATGCTCTGGTTCCTCCCCAGGTGAAGGCTTTCGTCACCCAGGACATTCCATTCTAGTATCCTTCTTCTCCTGTTCTGAGGATGGAGAAATGGGGAGGGCATCTGGGAGAATCTCTTTCCACTTAACTTCATAGATAGGGATGACAAATGGCTTTGAACTGACAAGTGGAATTGATTGGCCAGATTCTGAGGTGGTCTCCATGTTGGATAGGCAAAAGAGATTGACTAGAAATGACTGCCACAGGATGGAGAGGAAGGCACTTTACTTCTTTGAAATCTAATTTTCTCACGTGTGAGTGGGATCTCGTCCCCACCTGGGTACAGAGTAAGCACTCCGCAAGGGAAGCAGTGCTGTTCACATCAGCAGGGCCCCGGGAACCCCCACCTCCCTCTGCCCACTACAGTCCCCCTTAACACCACCTCCAGCCACAACCTGGTGATGAAACACCTCCCGGGGGCCGACCCTGAGCTCGTGCTGTTGGGCAGCCGCTTCGAGGAGCTGGAGGTGAGGCCATGGGAGGTGGACCGGGGCGGGGCTGTAGGCGGGGCCCGGCCTGCTGACCCCGCCTCTCCTCTGCTCCAGCGAATCCCACTCAGCGAAATGACCCGTGAAGAGATCAATGCACTGGTGCAGGAGCTCGGCTTCTACCGCAAGGCGGCGCCCGAGGCGCAGGTGCCCCCCGAGTACCTGTTTGCGCCAGCTAAGCCCTTAGAGAAAGCTTCTGACCACGCCGACCTGTAGGTCCCGGGGCGTGGCTGAGCTGGGACGACGCTGCCTGAACTCCGGAGACAGAATGAAGCGTTCAGCATCCCGGGAGTACCTCCCTTGCTGAGGGCCGACGCCCCGTCTCCGGGCCAGCGGGAATGGGGCTTGGGAGGCTGCTCCCAACCCCTCTTTCTTCCCTTCCCAGCTCCACTAAATCTCCTTCTACCTTAACTGACTCGACTCTTTCTTTGCTGCTAGCGGGAGGAGTGGGAGGTCGGAATTGGAGCCCCCCAAATACCTCCTGGAGACCTCTCCAACTCCCTGGCTGTCAGAATTGGAGATTCCGCCGAGCTTTCATTCAAACCCTCTCCCCACCCACAAGAGAGGCAGGGAGGAGTCAGGATCGTTGAAAACCAATAATTTATCAAAACGCCGTGTGTGTATGCAGGGAAGGGTGTCGCGACAGATAGGGCAGCGGTGGGCAGGCGCACGGGGAGGGGAGGGTGCCCGGGGGTAAGGGCGGCAGCTTGCCGCGAGCGGGCCGTGCGGGCGGGGAGGCTAGACATTCTTGCCGCGCAGGCGCAGCTCGTGGCGCCGCAGGGGATTGTAGAGCGACTGCACATAGGTGAAGACGCACTTGGGGTCGGGCTTCTTGCCCATGATCATCATGTCTTCCACCTCCACCAGGGGCACGCAGTCCACCAGCATCCTGCGGGGCGGGGAGTGCGGGGGTGGTTGTCAGCGCCAGCCCTGCCTCTTGCGGCGCCCCTCTATCCCAAGTCTTTTCATTGCCACAACCCGGTGGTCTTTCATAAACTCCAGACTCATCGATTGCGTGAAAAGTCTTCCAGTAAGGCAAGAAGACCCTGGCCCCACCCACCCAAGCCCGGAAGCACCCTTGTGTGGGACCAGAGCTAGGCAGGTGGAGGCAGAGATGGCAGAAGAGAGCCCCATCCCTATTAGGCAGGTTCTGCCTCTGTTTCCCCCAGGCCTGGGGAGGTCCTGGCTCCAGACCCCGCCCACGTTCTCCTTGGAGGGCTGCCTTATGCTCACCCTCACTGGCACGCTAGTTGGTAGAGGACTTTTAGCTGGGCTGTTGCACCCAGAGGGGCTTCAGCATTGGCAAGTCTTTCTCCATGGCCAAGACTCACCCCAATGACCCTCTGGTCCCCTGAGAATTATTTGCTAGCTGTTTAACCTGGTACTTCCTGCAGAGAGCCCAGGAGTCCCTGTCTTTGGGGAAGGGGAGGGGAAAAACGGGGGGAGGAGGCAACCCTGCTGCTGGAGATGGAGGCCAGGGAGTGTGTGGGGCTGGGGGCGAAGAGGAGTTCTTTAATCTTTATCACTTGCCTTGGTAGAGTAGGGAATGCAGGGGAGGATCCCAATCAATACTAACTGGACCACATACACCATGCTCAGGGGTGGGACCACCCTTCTGACCATCTTTCAGAGTTCTATTGTACTTTACAGATAGGGAAACTGAGTCACAGCAGCGGAGCCATTTATTTCAAGCCCCATAGCTTAGTAAATGCAGGGGCGGGTCACATGGGACCCAGGCCCCCAGCCCTGGTTGTTGGCACCTTCCTGGAGTACCCCCCATCCCTACCACAGGGGCCCTTTCCCTACTCTGGGTGAATGGATCCCAGCTACTAAGCAACTGAGCTCCAAAGCTGGAGTCGGCTTTCTGGTTCCTTTTCCCCTTCTCTCCCAGAGCAAGACCTCTTCTGTCTTGTTCTCCATTTATTTTCTCCCATCTGCCGTGCCTAGCACTCAGTGCTGTTGAATGAGTTTCTTTGGTGGAGAGAGCACAAGGGCAAGAACTGCTCTTATTCCCAAGATGGATGAGAGCCCAAGACCACCTCCCATTTTATGCCTTAATAGTCAAAACCTGGACTGTGGTAGGTAGCGCTGGGCATACTCCCAGCTCACCTAGACTCCTTTAAGGAACAATCCTGGGAGGCAGAACGCCTCTGTTTAAGTCCAGGTTCTACCTCTGATCAGGTGTGGATACTTAATAAGGTTCTATGATGTGACTCAGTTTCCCTCTCTTTATAACAGGATAGTCATTCTCTACCGCATTTGAGAGTTTAGAAGCACTTAGGATGAGGAGGAGGTTCCTGGCTCTGCTGCTGATGTGCTATGTGCCCTTGGGGTCATCCCTACCCCAGACTGGGCTTGTTTCCCTGGCAGTACTATGGGTCAGAGGCAGCCTCTCTCTGAAGCTTCTTCCAGCTGTGGCTATCTTCCCGGGGATCCCGGCCTCCCTCCCCAACCTGGCGCTCCCGCCTGCCCCTGGTGCTTTCCCTGGAGACCTTATAAAGCCATTGTTTACCCTGGAGCTCACAGCTCAGGGATCAGGCCGCCCCAGTGACAGGCCAAACACCAGGCAACTTGAGCAACAGCACGGCTGAGTCACACTTTCCAACTGGATCAGGGCCGGAACTGGGCCCCTCTACCTCCAGGCCAGCCTGCTGGGCAGCAGCTCCTAAGTCCATATATGAACTAGAGACAGCACTAAGCCCATCCTCCCCTCACCTGTACTGTTCCTCTGAGTACATGTATGCACGTGTGGGCTTTCCCCCATAATGGCTCCTGGCCCTGAGAGGCATCTGAGTGCCCCTCTAGCTAGCTCTGTCTCCCTGACTCACGTTACTTCAGGCAATCCCCTAGTTCCCTCTGGTTCTCTATTTTTAATCCTCTATACAAAATGTGTAGGAAAACATGATGGCACAAGGAAAAGAGCCACTGAGTGGCGAGTTTGGAGTCCCAGTTTCTGGCCTCTGGGACACTCTGAGCCCACCTTTCGCCTTCTCTGAGCTTCTTGTCTGCAATGGGGCTATGAGTTCCAGATCTGAATATCTACTGTGGCCCTGAGGTGAGGTGACCAGAAAGGAAATGCCACAGCTGGCTTGGGGAACCAAAACCCCCAGCCGGAAACATCTTCCTGTTGAACTGGCCCTGCTCCCGAGCTCTCTACCTGAATATGGCACCATCAACCCAGTGCCCAAACTGGAAGCCTGAGAGGCCTCCTGACCCTCCCATTCCCTCTTCAAACCAGATCTATCAGGAAGCCTGTCCCTCTACTTCTTAAACTGTTCCAGCCAAGGGTTGTTCTACAATGCCAACCTGACCACATCCATCCCTCCTCTGTCTGGAAACCTTTTGACTCCTGTTGTCCTCAGGAGGAAGTTCAAACTCCTGGCTGTGTCCCCTTTCTCCTCCCTCATACTCAGACTCAAGTTCCGTCTCTTCCTGGGTATGCTACACTCTCCAGCTCTCTTGCTCCCAGCCCAGTGCATAGGCTGATCCCTCTGCCTGAACTCTGTCTCCTCCTTTAGCCTGAACTCGCTTAGTTTGCCCTTTTTTCTGCAGCATGGGTCAGGTTCCTCCCTAGGCTTTCCCCATCATAGTCCTGCTCACCTGGATAATCACTGCCTATTTAGAATGGTTTCACCTGCTAGGCCCTGAACTCCCAGAAGACAGGGCCATATCTGGCTCTTCTGGCTTTAGTAAGGGTCCCCTTGCTGTGCCCAGCTTGACTAAGGGTCCCCCTGCTGTGCCCCGCTGAGCAGATTCCGGTGAAATGGGGCAGGTGGGAGAGGCGGCGTTTCTCACCGTGGGGCCCCGAGCAGGGGTTAGGACTTTTTGGTTTTTACCAGCCCCTTCTGGACCAGACAGCGGTAGAACTCCTGGATGTACGTGTACACGCACTTCCAGTCAGGCTCTCGAAGCCGCACCATGTCCTCTGTATCCAGGAGCTGCGGGCAGTCCGCATGGGTCCTGGGGAGGGTAGGGGGCCGGGAAGGGGCGGGGGGGCAGGGGGCCAGGGCCCAGGCAGGGAAGAGAGGGAAGAGGCAGAGAAGAGAGAGGGGAGAACAGAGAGACACACACATACACACACAGAGACATGAGTTCAGTTACGTTCTCAGTGCTGCAGTCTGCCAGCCCCCCGCATGCCCCCTACCCATTGTGGACGTGCCGCTCACTACCCGTCACTAATGGTGTGCGATGCAGACAGGGGTGGGGGCCAAACCAGTCACAGGTGCAGAGAATTCTTGGGGCAAGCGGGAACACGGGGTGGGGCGCGATGGCGTTGGCACCAAGGTTGGAGAGGAGGGCTGTGCCCCAGGGAGGGGGGTGAGGGAGGCGTGAGAGGAGGTGGGGGGAGGAAGAGAAGAAGAAATTTGAGGAGAATCAGAAAGAGAAGGGGAGAAAAAGAAAGACAGGTAGAAGAGGGTGCTGAGGGTGAGGTGAGCAGACGGGGCAATGATTCCAAAGTGGAGGGCTTGCTGATGTCCTATATAAGCCTCTGACAGCACCTATATAGGCTGGGCAGGCACGGTGCCCGGGCCAGGAGCCTCCTTTTGGAATCTCCAGCCGGGATCCCGTGGGAGCAGGAAGCTCTGGTGATAGTGGGAGGAGGGCAGGACAGAGAAAGAGAGAGAGGGAGAAGAGGGGGCAGAGGGAAGATGAGGGGATATGGACAGGGCCACCTGCTGGGTCTTGGCCCGGGCTGGCAGGCGAGCCTGCGGCTCCTTCTGTTCCGGCGGGCGCCTGGCACACTCAGCAGTGGGTAGACGGGAGTGGAGGACAGGGACTCTCTGGGGAAGGGGATCTCAGCTGCTGACTGACAGTGTGGCTGGTCGGCTCCAGTGGCCTCAGGGCAGCTGGGCCTAGCCCCAGTGCCCAGCCCAGATGCGCAGCAACACCAGCAGGCCTGGGGCCCACACTTACTCAGCAGACGAGAAGGCCACCTCGAAGTTCTGACGCCTGTTCTGAGGGCTAAGCTGCCCATAGTCGAAGGCCTCAGGGAAGAAGTTGTGCACTAGGGCACAGAAGGCCATCCCATCACTCCAGCTTGAGGAGAAGTTCTGGATGTCCACGTGCTATGGGCGGTAGGAGGACTGGTCAAAACACTGGGGGAAAAGTCCTATATGCCCCCTTTCTCTCAGTTGTTGGCATTCCAGACCTAGGGCAACTGAGCATAGAGAGGCCCAGTAGCTTGTTCAAGGCTGCACAGTAGGTAAGTAGCTGGAATGCAGGGGAACAGAGCTAGAGAGGCCCGGCAGCACCCAGCCAAGGCCATGGTCATGCCTCATCACTCATTTATCGAAATTTACCCAGTGCTCCCCACAGGGCAACAAGGAGGTGACTCCAAGAGTGGAGTCTGACCTTGAACACTGCCCACCACCCAGGAGGCCTTCATTAGGCCCTGACACTTAATCACTTATTCTGGAATCTAGGGCATGTCATGTGTCCTCTTTGAACCTCAGTTTTCTCATCCTAGAAGGCTTTCCGCGTTTCCTGCAAGTCCACGTTTATAGCTGTGAAGTGTACAGGGGAATTAAAAGGAATTCTACCAAGCGGAAGGTGCTGAGCTGGGGTCTGGGGAGGCTTCCAGGCCACCTGGCCTCCTAGGACTCCTCACCTCGTAGCCACGTGTCTTGGCTCGACACCAGTCCAGCAACATCTGCTTGATGCTGTTAGCGTTGGGGACCCCGAAGCTGGTGGAGCGCTGCACGCCTGCGCGGGGTCCGCCAGGGCTGCTGTGGGGTGGGTGTCAGGACCAGTTCACATGATTACAGGGGACGCTGCCTCGATCGTCCCACCGTGGAGACCCCAGGCATTCGCCTTCCAAGACCTTCAGACCCTTCCCACCACAGGTGAAGCGGCGCTCTTCCCGCCTCTAGCCCCGCCCACCCCCAGCTCTACCCTCTACGGTCCTCGAACCCCGCTCCCGCGGCCCAGGCCCCGCCTTCTGCCGCTCACCCGGCGGCGCCCTCCTTCTCCAGCTTTT